CGGGGTGTTAGCCCACTTGGAGGAGGAGAGGGACTACAAGATCACGGACATAATCGTCAATTTCCAGGCTTTCTGTCGCGGTTTCTTGGCCAGGCGTAATTATCAAAAACGTTTGCAGCAGCTTAACGCGATCCGCATTATCCAGAGAAACTGTGCGGCTTACCTAAAGTTGCGCAATTGGCAATGGTGGCGATTGTACACCAAAGTAAAGCCTCTACTAGAGGTTACCAAACAGGAGGAAAAGCTCACACAGAAGGAGGATGAACTGAAGCAGGTTCGCGACAAGCTGGAGTTACAGCTGCACTCGGCTCAGGAATACGAGCGCAAATATCAGCAGGCAATCGAAGAAAAGACCATGCTGGCTGAGCAATTGCAGGCAGAAGTTGAACTTTGCGCGGAAGCCGAAGAGATGAGAGCTAGGTTGGCCGCGAGAAAGCAAGAGCTAGAGGAAATTTTGCATGATTTGGAAGCGCGTATCGAAGAGGAAGAAGAGAGAAGCGCCGCGTTAACTCAGGAGAAGAAAAAATTACAGTTGAATATCAGTGATTTAGAAGAGCAACTAGAGGAAGAGGAAGCTGCTAGACAAAAACTGCAATTAGAAAAAGTCCAATGTGATGCGAAGATCAAGAAGTTAGAGGAAGATCTCGCTCTTTCGGAAGATACCAATCAAAAATTATTAAAAGAAAAAAAGATTCTTGAGGAACGTGCAAATGATCTTTCACAGACTTTGGCCGAAGAAGAGGAGAAGGCGAAGCATTTGTCGAAATTGAAAGCTAAGCACGAAGCGACAATCGCCGATCTCGAGGAGAGACTTCTTAAAGATCATCAGCAACGACAGGAGGTGGATAGATCCAAGAGAAAAGTCGAGACTGAGGTTTCAGATTTGAAGGAGCAATTGGCTGAAAGGAAAACGCAAGTTGAGGAAATGCAGCTTCAACTTGGCAAACGTGAGGAAGAACTTAATCAAGTTATGGCAAAAATGGACGAAGAAGGTGCCGCTAAAGCACAAGCTCAAAAAGCGCTTAGAGAGCTAGAGTCACAGTTAGCTGAACTTCAGGAAGATTTAGAAGCTGAAAAAGCAGCTAGGGGTAAAGCGGAAAAACAGAAGCGCGATTTGAATGAGGAACTTGAAGCATTGAAAAATGAATTGCTCGATTCTTTAGATACTACCGCGGCTCAACAGGAATTAAGAAGCAAACGAGAACAAGAATTAGCAACATTGAAGAAGAACCTCGAAGAGGAAACATCATTGCATGAAGCCACGCTCGCCGATATGCGTCACAAGCATACACAAGAACTGACTGCTCTGAATGAACAGATGGATGCATTGAAGAAAACGAAAGCGGTTCTAGAGAAGGCAAAAGGCTCTTTGGAAGCTGAGAATGCCGATTTGGCAACAGAACTCAGATCAGTCAGTGCAAGTAGACAAGAATCTGATCGTCGTCGTAAGCAAGCGGAGCAACAGTTAGCGGAAATAAACGCAAAATTGGCCGAGGTAGAACGAAACAAACAAGAATTAGCTGAGAAAGTGACGAAACTGCAACAAGAAGCGGAAAGTGTAATGCAACAACTAGAAACTGCTGAACTGAAAGCTTCTGCAGCATTGAAGGCATCGGCCACCTGCGAATCCCAGTTTACCGAACTACAACAGCAATTGGAAGAAGAAACTCGGCAGAAACTGGCTCTCAGTTCGAAGTTGCGCGCATTAGAAAGTGAAAAAGAGAGCTTGCACGATCAACTTGAGGAGGAAGAGGAAGCAAAACGTGCCTTGGACAAGCAATTGCTGAGTTTGAATGTACAATTGGCTGAAGCCAAGAAACGTGCTGATGATGAAGCAGAGGCAGCTGTCGCTCTCGAGGAGGCCAGAAAACGTTGCACGAAGGACATTGAAAGTCTCCAACGGCAAGTTGAAGAATTACAGGCAGCCAACGATAAATTAGATAAATCAAAGAAGAAGATTCAGGCAGAACTGGAGGACAGTATCATCGAGTTGGAGGCACAGCGAGCGAAAGTACTTGAGTTAGAAAAGAAGCAGAAGAACTTTGACAAGGTATTGGCCGAGGAGAAGGCTGTGTCTGAGCAATATGCAGAGCAACGGGACGCCGCGGAGAGAGAAGCGCGCGAGAAAGAGACAAGAGTATTATCATTGACTCGCGAATTAGATGAACTTAATGAAAAAGTTGAGGAACTTGAACGGGGCCGTAGAGGTCTACAATCAGAACTGGACGAATTGGTTAATAACCAAGGTACCGCTGACAAGAATGTCCACGAGTTAGAGAAGGCAAAACGTTCATTAGAATCACAGCTACAAGAGCAAAAATCGCAAGTTGAAGAATTGGAGGATGAATTACAGTTCACGGAAGACGCTAAGCTCCGATTGGAAGTAAATATGCAAGCATTGCGAGCTCAATTCGAGCGTGATCTTCAAACCAAGGAAGAACAAGCGGAAGAAAAACGTCGGGGATTAGTTAAGCAGCTTCGTGATCTCGAGGCGGAGCTCGAGGATGAGAGGAAACAGCGTGCTGCAGCCATCGCTGCACGTAAAAAAATGGAAGCGGATTACAAGGACATCGAACAACAGTTAGAGATGCATAATAAGGTGAAGGAAGATGCACTCAAGCAACTGAAAAAACTTCAAACTCAAATCAAGGATTGTACTAGAGAGACAGAAGAAGCTAGGGCTGCAAGAGATGAACTGGCAGCTGCCTCTAAGGAAACCGAGAGGAAGGTTAAGAGTTTAGAAGCCGATTTGTTGCAATTGACCGAGGACTTTGCAAGCAGTGAACGCGCCAGAAGAACTGCCGAAAATGAGAGGGATGAACTGCAGGAAGAAGTCAATAATAATGCCAATAAGGGAACCCTGATGTTAGATGAGAAACGTAGATTGGAGGCAAGAATTGCTACTCTAGAGGAAGAACTAGAAGAGGAGCAATCGAACGCTGAGATCGTAATGGATCGTGCTAGAAAAGGTCAAATTGTGATCGAGCAGTTGACAACGGACTTGGCGACTGAGCGATCTACTACGCAAAAATTGGAGTCGCACAAGATGCTATTAGAGAGACAGAACAAAGAACTTAAAGCCAAGTTAACCGAGTTAGAGACTGCACAGCGTGCCAAGACCAAGGCTACGATACAGCAACTGGAATCGAAGATCAACAATCTCGATGAGCAGCTTGAAACTGAAGCCAAGGAGAGATTCGCCCAGCAGAAGATCAATCGTAAGCTGGAGAAAAAATTGAAGGAACTGAGTCTACAGTTGGAGGATGAGAGACGAAACTCTGATCAGTATAAAGAACAGGCGGAGAAAGTTAATGTCAGAATGAAGACGTTGAAGAGACAATTGGACGAAGCAGAGGAGGAGATCAGTAGGCATAAGACCATGAAGCGGAAAGCGCAAAGAGAGATGGACGACATCACAGAATCTCACGAAGAGCTCATGCGGGAATTGACACAGCTAAAGAATAAATTAAGGTAATTTCACAACTTTATTTTCTTCCTCATACACGCACACACAATGGAAGGGATAAAAATATTGTTTAATGGAAAAATCTTGAAAATATTGAAAGGTTCAGAATTTAATGTTTGAAGGATATTAACTAGCAAGAGAGGATACTGTTCTTTTGAGCGATTTAAAATATGTATTATTTTATGTTACACTTTTTAGGCCATACGTATCTGTAACCTTAGGCGAACGTAATGAGGCAGTATTAAAGTAGTGTTTTATCTTTGAAGGAAGTGATCAACTTCTGACATGTGTAGGTGTCAAGAGAGAAAAAACGATTGGTATCCTACCTGAGAGAGTTTTTTGCTAGGAAACAATCCCATTAGTGTCCCCAGTGTGCTACAGTGAGTTAAACGAGCTCTTTTGGTTAATTTGAAATCGCTAACTCTGAAAATAATCATGCCGACTTGGACTGCTACCTTGTGTGATAATGACATACTTCACCCTCCGGCTTCCCCCTGAATGCAATTGTTTGTGAATGCGTTTTTTCATATTTTTTGATTATTTTTTATTTACAGTATTCATTATTGGTCGATAGTTTGACATTGTTTTCAAGAAAATCGACTTGTAGTTTAATGTAACATTCAAATTTTCTTAAATTTAAACATTCTTAAATTTTCATATTTAATATTATAGCAAGACCTTCAAATATTATATAAATTTATTCGGATACAAACCGCACATTTTTTCGTTAATAACTTGACTAATTTTTTATTATTTTATTTGTCTTATTTAATTCAAGATACGCGTTATTACACATTTTACAGTACTATAATTTGATATATAATGATGAATACTTAAGTGTAACATTAAATTTCAGATTATAAGAGATTTTTTAATTTGAAAAAAAAAATGGAAAATATATTTAAACTATTGACTGATAGTGTATATTTTTTCGCATTATTTATGCATACGTATTGCAATAATAAGACATCACATAATTAATGTAACGTATGATTTGTTTAAAGGCGCGGTGGTCCTCCGATAAGTCTGAGTTCTACGAGGCTGAAACGCGGTTCTGTACAAACCGGCGGCTCAGGTGATGATTCGACAACACAGGATGAGAGTATTGACGGCGAGGAGAATGCCAATTGAATATCGGAGTCAGTCCAATGTGCTCTCGAACCTCTGTGAATTATGTATATACGTGCGTCGAGAGAGTGTTGGCTTTTTTATTCGATTCGGCGCGGACTAAACTGTCTCGCGTCGCGGATACGAGACCAGCTCCACGATTAAAATCAAAAGTCGTTTCGACAATGTCTTACGGCATTTTCGGCCTTAAGATTATTACGATGAGAAAATCGTCTCGAGAGAGTTCGATTGACCGATAAAATGCCGACGATAGAGGCGAAACAGCGAAAAAGAAAACGAGAACTTTTGATACATTTTATAAGAAACGAACGCAAATGTTGAAACGCATTTTACAATATGTAAGGAAGGGAGAGTGTGAGAGAATAAGTGAGAGAAGGGGTAAAATAAATTCTGGAGAAGGAAATTCTTAATCATGAATGAATTTATTGGAGACTTATTTAAATAGAAAACTTAAATCGCGTAAATCTCTCATACAAAAATATTTCGCGCGAGGGAATATCACTTTGACGCAGCCTGTCGCTTGATTTCCTCGAGCTGTCGAACCAATCCGAGACTCGCGAGATCCAATGGAGTTTTGCGCTCCTTGTTGGTAATTGTCAAGTCCGCGCCGTGCGCCGTCAACAGTTTTGCTTCTTCCACGCGGTTCTCCTCACAAGCGAGATGCAGCGGCGTGTTACCGTACGCATCTCTCTGATCTGAGAAACAAGATAGCATGAAATGCACGAAATTGTGTATCGATATAGGAGAGCGAGCGAACCTTTGTACTTCTCTAAGTTATAATCGAAAATATTTATATATAGATATATATATAGATTATATTTGATATTTTATATATTATTATATTGTAATGAAAGAGCTGCATTTCAATAACATACACACATACAGAAACACGTAAATACTCCGCTACCTATGTTCAATTTCTTCCCGCACTCCAAAAGGAGTTCCACGATAGTGGTATTGCCCTTCGAGGCAGATCTGTGGAGAGGTGTAGCACCCCGTTTGTCCGTGATGTTCACGTCTGCATCCTTCTCGAGCAACGCCACGCAAATGGACTTCCAGTTCTTAGACGCAGCGTATTGTAACGCTGAGTGACCGTCGATCGTTGTCGCGTTCACGTTCGCTCCCTCGGTCAGTAATGTGTTAACGACCTTCTCGCGGCCAGCGGATGCTGCCAGGATTAGCGGAGTCATGTTTGTCTGCATGATTTAGATGCGTGATGTGATTTAATGTTTGATTTCGTACGAGGATCTAGCCGACGCAACGAACGGAATGAAAGTCTCGTGATAATTATGCGACGTTATGCGTGTGTGTCAAGAGAGAAAGAGAGAGAGAACAGGATATGCAAAAAATGTAACGCAACGCGCGATGCATTTTAGACGCATTTTCGCTTTATACTTATTTTCTTATAAGTTTTTTTTTCTTATAAATGATCTTTGGAAAAATTATAATATAATTATATGTCCTCAAGTGTGTATATTATTAAGATCTCCATCTTTCTTTCGATAGATCTCTCGAAATGAGGGATGGAATAGCTTTGTGGAATTGTAATGTAAGATTTTGCTTGATACCATGTTAAAGTTAACTTAATTAAACTATTACTCTCGTTAAATTTTTTTCAAATTATGATTTAAGAAGCGTTTTAGATAAGTAGTTTCTCTATGATTTATTGAAACTCAACTACACTACTGACTGCTACTAACAATAGATAATACATTTTGAAATATTTTTATAAAGAATGATATTTTTCAGAAAAAATGTACATGATTGTACTATTTATTTGTGTTACCAGTGTGTGGTCTGTGTAGAATCTCATTTGAAACTACGAGAGTTTAACGAATACACAGCATGCAAGAATTATAATTTTCTCGAAAAGATATATAATATTTTAAGATGCAAAAATAAAGTTGACTTGATATATTATTAAATAATTTATATAATACATTTTATTTTAATTGAAGTTGTAACAGTCATATATATATTCAAACAAAGATTTTTACAAATATTTCAGGAAAAGATTTAAAAATAAATCTTTTCATTTAGATATGATTATATTAGCTATTTTTAATCAGATACAACAGCGTTTCGACAATTACCATATTAACAAAGAAAGCTAATAAATATATTTTACAACAATTTTTTAAAAAGAAATGTTAGAAAGATTTACT